TGAAAAGAGGGCAATTTTGAAAAAGCCTTCTTTTAGTAGCTTTTTCCGCCAGCTCATCATTTCTGCCCATTCTAAACATATTACAACGATCAAAATCATGCCAGGACACCACGTTTTTCTAACCCTAACCCTACCCTGGTGCACACCCCTAACCCTAATATAGGGCTAAAGTTCCATTGAAAAGAGGGCAATTTTGAAAAAGCCCTCCTTGAGTAGCTTTTTCTGCACACCTCAACATTTCTCCCCATTCTAAACACATTCCAACCATCAAAATCGTGCCAGGACACCTCATTTCTCTAACCCTAACCCTACGCTGGTGCACACCCCTAACCCTAATACAGGGCTATAGTTCCATTGAATATTGAAGTCGCAATGCTGGGGCGACTTGGCTTGTGTGCCAACAGAGAGGGCTCTGCGTTCCCGCTGTGGCGCGTGTGCTATGGGTTCGCCACCAGTGGTCTAGGTGATCTCCCCCTATCCTTCCAAATGCAGAGGTGCCTCTCCAGTTTTCCAGTGCCTCAGAATGAGATAAGACATGTGTTCATCTGGCCCTCCCTTCCTGAGTGGGTGCTCCCCAGAGGTGTTGACCTGCAATTCCCATGATGCCCAGCCAGCACTCATGTTGGCTGGGATTTACGTGGGACGCAGTCTGTCCACCCTGTCCGGGAGCTGAGAAAGTATGAACTTTGCTGACCGGCCCTCGAGTGACTCAGGCATAGGAGGCTGTTTGTGTTATTACTGTTATTATTAACTATTATTATTATTACAGAGCATCCCACCTTTTTTGCTCTTGTAAGGAACCTAGTGCAGTTGACAAAGCTCCATTCTATCCTCACAGCAGCCCTCTGGGGTAGGTTGGCTGAGCGCCTGTGATTCTCTGTGAAAGTGAGCTTTCTGGCTGTAGGGAGAATTGAACCCGGATCGCCCAGGTCCCCAGTCCAGTGCTCCAGCCACCACACCGCACTGGCTCTCCTGCTACCAGCTCATGTTACCTCCACCTGATCCTTTTTCTGGAGGGGGTAAGGGGACACCCTGGGGTTTGAACCTGGGACCTTGCCCCTACAAAGCATCTGCTCTACCGGTGAACTAGTGAGAGTGCATAAAAGAGTGATACAGGGCCAGTGGGCAAGCACACACCGGGCACCCGTGCCCCATGCAAATCGTTGCTCCCGTGAGCAAAGCCGCGACTTCCCACAGTGCGGGTCTGTGGTTGGAAAAGCACATTTCCTGCCTGGATGCTGATCGCAGAAGCTGGAATCCCGACCTGGGAGTCACCATCTGCCTTGAAACAGCCACGTCCCTGGCACAGCTGCAGGCAGGAGCGTAGTCCGTGAAAGCTCCCTTATGGAGCAGCGCTCCTTGCCTTGCTCCAACCTGTAACTGAGGGGGAGCAGTGTGTGCTCTTTATCGATTTAATTATTATTAAAAACACTTAATTGTGAAAGTTAACTGGATGCAAAAACACTTCTGCAACAAGTGATCCTGACTGATGACCCTGTATATGTGGCTAAAGAAAACAACAGAGAGAACTGTTTCTAAGGGCATTCTTGTTTACTCCCGAGTGGACATGCAGCACCCTTCTTGACTTACTCGTGAGCAAGTCTGAAACTGGTAAAAATCAGTCTGGTTCCACTCCATCTGCTTTTTGCCACACCCATTTAGGCCTTGGCTCCACCCACAGCTGGGCTGTGCCCCCCCCCCACCTGCAAGACCCCTCCCAGAATAGAATTCAACTGCTTGGACTGACCCCCCACCCCAACACACTCTTGCTTTAAGAACAGGGAAATTCTCTGTACATGCTTGGAGGACCTGTTTGCTGCTGTTACTCTTTGCAGATTCCAAGTCCAGGCCTTGGCTTTGAAAACCATCCCTGAAGGTAAAGTCTAGCTTTATTAAAGTTGTGGGTGGAGAAGGGGAGGGGTTGATTTCATGCTTGGACTTTGAGGCTTAACCAGAATGACCAGTTTTTCCTGCTTGGTGATGTTCAGAAGTAAGTCCAGCCCTCCCTGACACTGCTTCCAGGAATTGTTGGATTCCAACTCCCATCTACTCAGGCCAGCATGGCACATAGTCAGGGTCAGGGGTGTAGCTTGGCACAGAAAAGGGCTCAGTCCTCAATGTACAGATCTGCCCCCCTGAGACTTTTGTATAGAATGGGATAGAAAGGCCTTAAATAAATAAATAAATAAATAAATAAATAAATAAATAAATGGTATTTGCCAGTTTATATCTATATGCAAATGTAGACAGAATGACTTGGATTCATTCAAATGTCACAGGAGTCAAAGCCAATCAATTAATTTCCAAATATTCTCAAATAAAATACATGCAGTGAATTTGCACCCTGATTCGATCGCTGCGAACCAAGAGAAAAGGTTTTTTCTTTCTTTCTCTGTCCTACAAAACACAAAGAAAGATTTGGAGTGGCGTGAGAAGGGGGAACCAACTGTTGCCTCTTCAGCTGGTGTCTCCCTTGAAAATCTGCCCCCTTGGGGCAAGTGAAAGGGGGGGGGCAACCCTCCATCAGCACCATTGGGTATGTAGGGCATCTGGAAATAGATTCATGCTCTGGGGTCCATGCATGACACTGCTTGAGGATGATGGGAAGTGTAGTCCAAAACAATGGCAGAGCACCCACCTGGAGAAGTTGGAAATAGACCGTATGCACCCTGTTCAAAGAATCTCTGTTTCCAACACTCATAGCTGCAGATTATCTCAATTTCTAGCCCTCCTGGAAGGATTGCTTTGCTGTATATCTCTGTGGAGAAACCAGAACCAGGGGGCGGAGGGTAGTTTGCATGTTCTCATTTCCCCCTTGCATAGGGTGATCCTGTACATGTCTACTTTGAAGCAAGACCCATTGACTTCAGTGCTGCTTACTCCCAGGTAAACCGCACCAAGACATGATGCTTTCAGTGGATGACCCTTGGGACAACTGCAAGCATGCGGATTCTCTCCCTCCTTGTTTCTGTCTCTCCCAACTTAGCCTGCCTCACAGGGTTGTTGTGAGGACCAAATGGGCAACTGCATCTCCCCACTGGGGCACTCTATGGGGATTGTTGTGAGGCGTGCCTGCACCACATCCCCACACAACACACTGATAGATTTGGACCTTCTGCCTGTTCTGCACAGGCCCAGCAATAGGTCTCTATTCAGGGCATCCCACAGCAGGCGAAGAGGCCCCTGCTCAAAAACACCACGGTAGATTCCTGGCCCTCAAAATCCAGGCAGGGCTGCCAGGAATCCTGTCTCCTGGTTTTCTTCTCCACCCATCCTTCTTTGACCCTCCCCGCTCTATGAGTATCTTTGGCCTGCTGCTGTTTTGCCCAAGAGTCAGGCTGCTGACTGTGACAGCCACCTGATCCGGGGCAGTGAGCAGGGATGGCCCCAGCTAAGCTTGGGTTGCAGCCCAGAGAGTCACCCTGGCTGACCTTGGGCAGAAACTGGAGCCAGAATATCCTTGAAAACACCTGTACTGAGCTGGGCCAGGGGGTCTGTATCTTCTGGGATCAACACAATTCCATCAGCCACTCAGAAATGTCTCGAGTGCTTTCACAGGAAGCGGGAGAGAGGGGCTTTCTCATGACTCTCAATTAGGGTGACCAGATAGGAGTCCCCTCTTAGAGACAGAATATCACCCAACTCCAGGGATCCAAGAATGATCTGGAACAGACTTATTGCCTGGATTCAGACAACACCACAACCCATATTTCAGCAACAACCCACACTGAGTCCTATGTTGTGTAGTCTGAACCCAGTCACAGTCTTCATCGCTTGCATGTGAGTTTCTCAAATGCTCCCGTCTTTTCTGGACAGGATCCTGGATGTAATGTCTTTGGGCTGGAGCCCAGGGCCATCTTAACACATGGGCCTCATGGGCCATGGGCCCCATACTAATCTGTGTATGTTAACCCTTGGAAAATGGGAAAACTTCCAAAATTAACAGTAGTTGTAGTTGTCGTAGGGGCCCCAGTACACTGCTTTGCCCGGGACCCATAAGGCTGTTAAGATGGCCCTGCTGGAGCCAGGAAAAAGATTCTTCATAGAGAGGTGAGGAATTACCAATGTTCAAAGTAGCAAAGTTGACTGCAGAATCATTGCTGATCTTTCTGACATTGTGCTTTCAAAGATCTGCAGACTTTGCCCATTTTCCCCAGCTGCAGGGCAATTAGTGCTTGCTGGTGAACTTTTGCAGAAATTTGGTGGCTTGCCAACTTGAGTTTTCAAAAGAGGTGAACTCTTGCTCGGAATGCCAGAAGGTAATATTTCAGGGAGCATTATTTATATAATTACAATGTATACAAGGCTGTTGTAAGGATTGCTAAGATTATGCTTGTGAAGCACTTTATATGTGGAACATTCTGTTCTGTTACTGCCTCATTTTAGCAGCTTAATTCCTGCAAAGCTCCTTGTTTCTCTTGTATCATCTCAGAAACTTCACTGAGGGTGGTGTAGTGGTTAGAGCACTGGAATGGGCATGCAGCAAATCCCAATTCTTGTCCCCACTCAGCCATAAAACCCACTGGGTGACTTTGGGTCAGTCCCGGTCATCCAGCCCAGCCTCCCTTGCAGGGTTGTCCTTTTGAGGATGAAACAGAGCTATGTAAGTCATCTTGGATTCCTTGCAAGAGGAAAAAAGGCAGGATAGAAATGCAATGTCATAACAAGAAGAAGAATGTGATAGAAGAAACTAACAGCACACTTGTATGGATGTCTGCAGAGAAGTAAGACTCACTGAATTTAACTTCCCAGGGAAGTAGGGACAGCAGTAGGACTTCAGTTTGAGAACGGTCCTCACACCAGCATGATTTGTGCTTTGCTGCCCTCTTGTGCTCATGATATTCTGTGAAAAGCAGTTTTCCTACCTTTGCTGTCCCAGTAATCCATTTGTGCATCAATGCCTCCCCTTCGCCACTTAATAATATTATATGGATCCAAATACACTTGTGGCAAGGCAGATTTGAATTCTGGGTTGTTTGTAACTGTTTTGCAATGTTTAATTTTAAAAGAGGTTATTCTTTTAAATATTTGGGAAGTGCTGGTTTGCCATTTCTCCGTTCCAGGCAATGCCACCATCTCTGCATGAGGGGACAGGTTGGGCTCCAAAATGCAAGCCTGAGAGAGCAATCTGACCCCAAGGCAAATGGTCACCTGTCTTTGTTTAATGGCCCTTGAAAAGTGACTGCTAGCTTGCAAAGATGTGTAGATTCTTTGTGAGCTTGGAGAGCTGGTAACACCTCACACAGCTGAATGCAGAATAGGTGGTCCAGCCAGCCGGCAATTACTGCACCAGGCCAATGATGGCTTAGAAATCCCCTGCCTTTGAAGTCTTCTAATAGATACAATCCGAAGTTACACAAGGCCATTGGAAAGCTTCCACAGCCTTTGTTGACTTAGTAGCTTCTGGACATCTTTGACTGTAACTCCCATCATTCCCAGCCTGCATGGCCACTGGCTGTACCAGGAATGCCTGTCAGTCTTTCTGCTGGTACCAGGAACTGGTAAAACCAAAGCTCAGCCTTCTCAAAGAGCTTCCAGAAAGTTCCTGCACAAGGGAAGTCAGCCGCAGTAACTTTCCTTTGGAGAGGATTTCTAAGCAGTCAGTTGGATATGGCAAAATAACACACAATAAGTATATTGTGAATTGAGTGGGGAAAATCGAGTATTGTTTCAAATGGAGAAATTCCAATTTCCTCCAACTTGCTCTTACCCCAGGAGGAACCTTCGCTTTGAAGACCAGTCACACAAAAGTCTCCACAGCAATCTGTACTGGAGGGATTTCCTTCCTCCATAACTGTATACACATTCAGTTGTGGCTTATACATATGTCTATAAAAAGTCTTGTTTCATACAGCATCTTGATTAAATTTGTTGGCAATGAACTAACATTAGTTGTATTGGGGGTAATTTTTGACCCCAAACAAAAGTGCCAGAGAAAGTTAAATGCATTGAATTTTGGCTATGTGTTGGTTACTTCCACAGAGAGAGGCCCCCTGTATTGGACACTGAAATGCCACTGGTTGACCCATATGCATCCTAGTATGATAAATATTTATTAAGTAAAACATTAAATATGCATTTAGATTTTAAACCTGGTGCATTCCATGGAGCACCCTAGTCCTTTGGCTCTGATTTCCACCACTAGCCCCTGTCCCTTTAAGAGATCCTGACCTCAAGGCTTTTTCCAGCACCATTCCCTATTTATAGTCATTTATGGATTCTGTAGAGGACCTCATGATGATCCAGTTTTGCTTTTTAGTCTAATCAATGCTTTCAGATTCTTAAGAGCAGAGAAAATGCAGCCTTTAATCCAGAGATTTGAAGAAACCACCATGTCCTTTTGTGTATTTGTGCGGTCCTGCTACACCACAGTGCTATCTAGAGGTTATGTAGCAGAAATGCTCCCAGTGTAGCAACTAGAGGTTATGTAGCAACAAAGCAGGAAAGGAAAAGCTCCTGAGTGTTCTGATCTCAATTCTCTGATGACCCTGGAAGGAGATGCAACAATTAACAGTCTCATGTAGAAAAACTCTTGTCCCAAATATTCCCTCCGGATCATCTGCTAACAAAGGTGTGGGGCACCCAGCTACCCCTTATGGAGGGGGTTAGGGGAGACTACAGAAGGAGGGCTTCATCAGAGATGAAAACCACACTACTCTGGACCAGAAGCCAATCCTGTGAAGGAGAGGGAGATGCAGGGGATCCCTGACCTCAAGTATATGGGGCCCTGGGAGCTGAAGTCCTCTTTGGGTGAAACAGACAAAATGGTACAATGACGAGGAGACGGGGAAGAACGTCTTCCCAATCCTCTGCCCTTGCCAACTCTGATATTCTGCACCAGATTCAGCATTTGAACATGCTGCATTACTCTAATATTCGGTGGTCATGATAAAACCCCGAACCAAAGGCTTCTGCTGCATCTAAGAAGCAATGGTCCACCAACCACATGGGGCCCGCAGAGGCCAGTAGTTCCTGCTTTTCCAGCTACAACCAATTTCTGCCCCCAACAGAGTTCCTTGTTCTTTGCAACAAATGGATGCAGTGAAGTTTGCTTATGCTGCGAGGGGAAACAGGCTAAGGAGGGTGGCAAAGTGGCTTCCATACCATTAAAGGTGGTGCGGAAGTAACAGTGTCCTGCCTCAGCTGTCCTGGATTGCCAGGATGGAGATAATGCTACTGTCTTGTCCTCAGCCGGTGAGTGATGTGTGTGCGTAGCTGCATGCATGAGTGTGTGTCCCAGTTCCCCGATGTCACTGCATGTGGCCCTCAGAACTGAAACTGTTGTGCATTCATAGTCTAAGGAAAGCATAGAAGACTTCTCACCATATGCTTTGGGTAAGAAAGGTCCTCAGTCACCAAAACCTTAAGTGGTGTCCCATGCAACATCTGAGCGACACATTCAAGAGTCTCCAGAGCAAGGTGAAAATGTGGCAGGCTTCCCCCTGAGACTTTGCCAGGGCCTTGCTGGGGTTGTTGCTGGCCAAACTTCAACTCAAACTCAGTATCTTCACTCAGTTCCCTCATCGCTTGCATTGGTGGTCACAGGTATTGCTCTGCGGACTAAGAGAAGGCATAAGAGAATCTATGTTGACTCTGGCCAATCTCAAGGCCAGTATTTGCCCACCAACCTTCTCATTGCATGCTTGATCTCCTTGTTCCTCAGGGTGTAGATCATGGGGTTCATCAAGGGGAAGACAGTGCTGTGGAAAATGGCCACTAACTTGTCAAGAGGAGATTCCTGGAATGGGCGGCAGTACAAGAAGATGGCTGGACCAAACATAATGACGACAATGATGATATGCGTGATACAGGTGGAGGCAGCTTTGCTCTTTCCTTCTGTGCCACCTGATCTCACCTTGACCAGCAGGATCAAGTAGGAGATGATGAGGAGGGTGAAACTGATGAGACCAGACAAGCCACTGTTGATGAACATGAAGAACTCTAAGTCATAGGTGTCTGTGCAAGCCAACTTGATGATCTGAGTGATGTCACAGAAAAAATTGTCCAGCTTGTTGGGGCCACAAAAAGGGAGAGAGACAATGAGGACAACCTGGATGATGGAATGAATAAAACCCAAGCACCAGAATGCTATGACCATGAGGCTACAGATTGGCCTGCTCACAATGTTGGTGTAATGCAAGGGGTGGCAGATGGCCACATATCTGTCAATGGCCATGCCAAGAAGAAGGAAGACCTCAGATCCTCCCAGCCAGTGCAGGAAGAAGAGCTGGGCCATGCAGCCACTGTAGGAGATGGTATTTTGGTTATAGTAGAAGTCAGACAGCATCTTGGGAGAAGTGACGGAGCAGTAGCAGATGTCCAGGAAAGCCAGGTTGGCCAAGAAGAAGTACATCGGGGAGCCCAACCGGGGGTCATTCCAGATGGTCACGATGATGAGGATGTTTACGGGCAGAATCAGAGAGTAGAATAGAAGGAAGAGAAAGACAAGGAACAGCTGGGCTTCCCGTTTCTGTGAGAGACCAAGCAGGACGAACTCTTTCACCAGAGTTTGGTTCCCATATTCCATCTTCTTGCATCACCACCTCCTGCAATACAAATTTGAGTTAGGGGGATGAAAGTGATAAATAAGAAAAACAGCAAAGGAAATCTCTCAGAGTGTGAAGGCATGCAGCTTCCACTTCCTTTGCTGTGCAATCAGTTTAGATGCTGTATCATGAATTAATGGTAGCTTCATGTTCATATAATCATGTTTCTTATCCACTTTTATTGAAGTTCAATACTTCTGCAATGGCCAACAGCTACTGGCCAACCATTTCTGTACAGGTGGATTGCAAACTGGTAATCCACGATTTTTATTTATTTATTTATTTATTTATTCAAAATATTTCTACCCCATCCTACGCAAAAACCATCCCAGGACGGCTTACAATAATAAGAACAATAATAAACAGAGCAATAAATAAACAACATACATAATAACCAACAAAAAACAAAATGTGACTGTAAATATTAAAACCAGTTAAAATTCCTTAATCCTTAAAATAATAGGTAAATAAACAGATGGTGAGTTGATATCTCTTCAGTAGGAACTGGCTGTGCAGAGATGTTTCCCAAAAAGCTGGAGATCTTTTCATCCAGTGTTGAGATACCATACTGAGTTTGGAGAAGGGTGGGAACAGATTTTGAGAGAGAGAGAGAGAGAGAGAGAGAGAGAGAGAGAGAGAGAGAGAGAGAATTTCTAGTGCTAAAGAAACAGGGACAAAGGGGAAGGCAGAAACTCCATGCCAAGTTTGCCAAAGAGGGGTGCAACTTTGCAACTGGGCCACCATAAGCTCTTTCTAGTTGAAACACTCGGTGCAGTTTCTCATAGGTGTGTCTTTGCTTTCATTTGTTCTGTTTGTAGGGTTCTAAATAAAGCAAATGTTTCCAAGATACTCTAAGTCCCTAGTGGTCTCCCAAACCAAAGAGGAATGGATTAGTATGGCCCTAAATGTTCTAATACATCTGATATTAGAAAAGCGAGGAGGATCTCTACTGTGTGACCTCTAAACAATTAAGCCAACCTGGTCTTGAACCCTGCCTGTTTCTTGAAAGGACCACTCTCTTCCTGCCTCACCTTCCTCCTCTGGGTTCAGGTCATGTGTTATTCACCCACCACACCCAGCTGCCACTATTTATTTATTTATTTATTTATTAAAACATTTTTATGCCGCCCCATTCGCCGAAGCCTCGGGGAAGCTTACAGCAATAAATTAAAACCACATAAATTAAAATATACACATAATAATAATAATTTATATATATATACATATACATATACATATACATATACATGTATGTATGTATGTATGTATGTATGTATGTATACACACACAATATAAAATAAGCCGCCCTGGCCAGATAAAATTCAATAATATTAACATTTAAAATGCTGCTTAAATAAAAAGGTCTTTGCCTGGCGCCGAAAAACAAATAACGACGGCGCCAGGCGGACCTCTCTGGGGAGCGCATTCCATAACTTAGGTGCCACCGCTGAGAAAGCCCTTCTCTGAGTAGCCACCCTCCTAATTTCTTTCACGGAGGGCTCCCAGAGAAGGGCCTCTCCCACCGATCTCAGGGGGCGACTGGGCATATATGGATGTAAGCGCTCCTTCAGGCAACCAGGACCCAAGCTGTTTAGGGCTTTATAGGTCATCACCAACACCTTGAATTGGGCCCGGACTTCAATGGGGAGCCAGTGAAGCTGACGGAGAACTGGAGTCATGTGAACATAACGTCCAGTCCCCGTCAGCAGCCTGGCAGCTCTATTTTGAACCAATTGAAGTATCCGGACCGTCTTCAAGGGCAGCCCCACGTAGAGCGCGTTACAGAAGTCAAGACGGGAAGTCACCAGCGCATGAGTCACTGTTGCGAGGCAGTTGTACTCCAGGTAGGGGCGCAGCTGATGAATCAGCCGAAGCTGGAGGAAAACGCTCCTCGCCGCTGCTGTCACCTGAGCTTCAAGTGAAAGCTCCGGGTCGAGGAGCACTCCCAAGCTGCGGACCTTGTCCCTAAGAGGGAGTGCAACCCCGTTCAGGACAAGATTCAATTCACCTTCTCCGAAGCCCAAACCGCCAACCAACAGGACCTCCGTCTTGTCTGGATTGAGCTTCAGTTTATTGGCCCTCATCCAGCCCATTACCTCGGCCAGGCACCGGTTCAGTACAGCCACTGCCTCACCTGGATTGGTGGAAAATGAGAGGTAGAGCTGATTGGAGCTGTCTGTCCTTCTCTGGTGTTGTAATTGCTAAGCAACTTCCCTCACTCTCCTAACACTGGACCCATTGACCTGCACAGCCAGAGTGAGCTTTGATGGTCATATGAGGTCATGAGCCAGCACTCTGTATTCATAGTTCGGCACACACAGGTTCTTATGAGTGAGACTCCATGAAAATACAGTGAATTCTTACTGAGAGCTTTGGCTACGGGCAGTATAGAAATGTAATAGTGATGATAATAATAGCAATACTAAAATATTTGATCCATTCTTTTTTTTGTAGCAAGCCAATGTGTGGGGAACTCTCTCCCTTGGCACTCGGTGAGCAAACCCCACATCCCAAATGTCCAGTTCACATTACAAGAGAATGATTATTAAAGAGAGTATCAAAAGTGGCAAAAAAGAAGGCAAAGACAAGTACACACAAAATAAAGCAAGAAAATGATAACAGGAACCTAGCAAACCTACACTTGAACTCTTGGAAATAACTTACTCATGCATAGGAGAACCTAGAAGCCATGGCACAAACCACATCATTGTCCGGAAGAGATGGATGTGTTTCTGAAGCTCAGAATATCCAGGTGATTCTGGATGCCCATGACCAAAAAACAACACAGTGTCCTATTTTGGCTCAAGGTGGCTTGAATCACCAGCCTCTGTGGAATTGGTCAGTGAGCATCAAGTGATGCCTGCAGTTAAAGCTGGGCTGAAGAAATGAAGCTTGCAAGATGTAATTCTTCTTTGTGCAAGGACACTTTGCCCAGCTCTACTAGAAGGCTTATTCCAAAAGGCTTTCCTACTTGTGGATTTAAAAACCCGGGAAAGGTGTAACAGGATATGTGTACCAAACTGGACACCACCTTCTGCCTCAGCTAGTATGGACAAAGTTAAGCAGAACCTTTTCAGGTGGCACAGCTTGGTAACAATCAGAGCACACTTGAAAAACACTGGAGGTTTAGCGGGTTCTGATTTTGAGGATACCAAGAAAGAATGACAGAGACTGGAAAATAAAATTTCTGGAAAGCAACTTACCATTCACATCTTTCAATGGGGTAGGAAGATTCCCACCCTACCTCCAGGTCACAAGCTTTGCTCACCTATTTATTTTCTCTGGGCCCAGGAGTTGTGCAGCTGATGGAAAAACAGGTCCAGGTCTCATGGTGCTCTTGGAAGGCAGCCCACTTGGTTTTCACCCGGAGACCTCATTAAGAAGGGAGGGAGGGACTAATCGATCAAATGGCAGGTGATCTTTTCTGCTCACTTGCATTAGTCATAAGGAGGGTGGATTTGAGAGGGAATGAATGAGTTTCTGGGAGTTTCAGGTTTGATGCAAATTAAGAAATGGTTGGCTGAGGCCATGAGTGAGCCCAGCTCTGGATTACATGGTATGAGGAAAGAGAAGGGGAACACTAGATGCCCATATGTGACCTAGAGAGCTGAGATTCAACATCCTTGTTTTACACTGCAATTGAACTGTGCTGAGCCTGAGTATTTGTGCTCTTGCTTTAAAACATAAGGAATGTCTTGCTGGATCAGACCCTTTGGGCCATTAAAGTCCCATATCTCAGACACAAAGCAGGACATGATTCACCAAGAATGAATGCATGCATCTGACTGAAGGCCAAGAAGAACTTCCTGACCGTTAGAGCAATATGAGAACAGGACCAATGACCTAAGAAGTTCTTGGGTTCTCCTACACTGGAGGAGTTCAAGATGCAACTGGACAGTTAGGGATGCTTCAACTTGGCATTCCTCACTGAGCAGGGGCTGGATCCAGTGGCTTTGCTGGTCTCTGGTGGAACACTTGCCAGCTCGTGCACTGCTGGCTTAGGCCGCCTTAAGTCTCATGGAAGACGCGGGGTGCAATCTCATTGCAATGCCCATAAACCCCCAACTCAGAGGCTCATCCTCATCCTACACTGAGCAGAAGGAGCTGTGGGCATGATTTGCATCTCCCTTCCTCCTGCAGCTGGTGCAGTGGGAAAGGTAGGACCTTTGATTCACACGACCACCAACCTCAAACAGGGGTGTCTGAGAGATTCTGTGACTTCCTCAGACACTGCCTAAGGGCCACAAGATTGCTGTTGTATTCACTCATTCCCTGTCCCAGGATTGGACAATCTTCTGGACGCCTGACCTGCCATGATTGCTTGTATCCTTGAGTTTAGTAGATGGGCTTGCTTTGCACAGAGGAGTCAAATATTGGGAGGTAGAGATGGCCGTGCACCAAACAAACCTGGTTCAAAACTCCACTCAGTGCAAAACTCCTTCAGTAGCCTCGAGTAGTTTTCCATCTCACCTGCTAGCTTAGATGGCAGGGCTGCTACAACAAAAGGGTGTAGATCCAAGTAGGACCCTGAAGCAGAATTGATGCAAGGCCACAAGGCCACATCCTTAGATGAAGGAGGAGACATGATGTAATCAAGGAAATGTACTTCACTCATGTTGCTTTGAGTCTTCCAGCTACCAGGAAGACGGTGGCTGAGCAGCAGAGCTGGTCACAGCCCCGAGATCTGCAATGGCCACCATCCTTAGTAGGATGAGTGGTCTGCTTGGCTTGTTCACAGGATACTTTTGGATGAGCAGTGCAATCTCTTTCCTTTAATGAGATACTGTATATCAGCAGTCTGAAGTTATTTTGCACAGCTCCCTTTTTACTCTTTGTTCTTTAATGGTGGTTTAATGGTGCTGATGCTGCTACATGTCACTGGTGCAGGTCATGTGGCCCTATGAATGAGTCCCCCACCCCAGGGTCCTGTCTGTCACAGCCCTGCTCAGCTCCAGCAAATGCCAGACCGTGGTTTCCTGTATGGAATGGATCCATCTCACAGCTGGCCTTTCTCTGCTCCTTCTTCCTTCTCCTTCCCTGGCAAGATTGTCTTCAGGGAGTCTCGCCTTCTCATGATGTGACCAACACTTCAGTTTTATTGTTTTTGCTCCCAGAGCCAATTCTGCCTTGAGTTTTAATTGATACCTCATTTTCATTATTTTATTTTTAATTGTACTTGAGGTATACATGTCCAGGGAAGGGAATGAAAGACCCTCCAGTTTCTATGCCAAAGTAACGTAACCCTTTCACTATGAAAAACCCAGAGAAACACATTTCCCTAATGTCCATATTTCCCATCATTTGTGCTTCTTCTGCTAGTTTTGGAGAAGAGCAATAAACCATGCAAAGCACTAAAGCTGTCCGTCCTTAGTACTACAGGAACAAAGCCAGACAAGGTGCATCTTCAGATGGTTGGATGATGCCAGATTGCTGCATGTGGGACTTCTGGTCTGGCCACTGCACATTCCAGTGCCTCAAAGCAACTGCTCTTCTGCTTAGCCACCCTGCCTCCCTCTTGCGTCTGGGGTCAAGTAGACATGCCTTGGGCATTTTGTCTTCTGTGTTTATACCATTTTCTTACTCGGTGTGTGTGTGCATGCGTGCACTTCCTGGCCAAAGCCATCCTTATTTCCATTAGGTATACTACCTATTTTATAAAGATTCTCTGTGGGGTTTCTACCTTTCCTCACTGGTCTACAGCAGAAAGTTACATTGATGGCCTTGAGAAATTGAGATGGATTGAGAAAGTAACTGATGGCCAAAAATAAATGACAGATAGACAGACAGACCGACCGACCAACCCACTGACCCACCGACCAACTGGGCTGCTGATGGGAGGAATTACTTCTTCCTTACAAGTCTTTGTAATATTATTTTGTTATAGAATCAGGTGACACCTGTAAAACAGTCCTTTAGAAAGAAGGACTACTTTTTTGTCCACACAGCACACATGGTTTCATTGTCATCATCATCATCATCACCGCCGCCGCCACCACCACCACATTTCTATACCACACATAGAAGTCCTCTGGGCAGTTTACAACAATAATCATAGAATCATATGCTCAGTCACCCATTCAGATTCTAACCAGGCCTGACCCTGCTTAACTTCCAAGATTTACACTTCATTTCATGCTGCATAAAAAGAAGCTGGAATGTGGAGGAGGTTGTCATTGTCCTGAACATGAAACCCAGATTATCTCCTGCACTGGACCATCATCATAGCTGTTTATTGCCCATCAGACCCACAACAATACAGTCCCCAAACTATACAACTTGTGACACTGAATTAAGGCTGGGACTGGAAGGAAGTCTGTCTGTCTTGTGACTCCAGGAGACCATTCCTTGGGTTGTGATGTTAGGAATATGAGCAGAGCTCTGTCCAGAAGTTCTCACCAACAGCCTCCACATGGCAGATTTCATCTTCTTGTTCTTCAGCGCATAAACAGTTGGGTTCAGAAAGGGAGTGACAGCCGTGTATAAGACAGAGAGCATTTTATCCACCCAGAAATGAGTGTAAGGACTCAGGTAAATAAACATGCATGGTCCAAAGTACATGGTGATCACGATGACGTGAGAGGCACATGTGGAGAGTGCCTTGGAGGTCCCTTCAACAGGTGCCCGGGAACTGACTGTAGCTAGAATGTATCCGTAGGAGAAAAGCAAGCCAACAAAACACACCAGTGACAAGATGCCACTGTTGGTCACCATCATGACCTCCAGAGGGTAAGTGTCCACACAGGCCAGCTTGATGACCAAAGGGATGTCACAGAAGAAGCTGTCCACGTGGTTGGACCCACAGAAGGGCACACTCAGGGTAAAACCCAGCTGCACGCTGGCGTGAAGGAGTCCACCAGCCCAGGAGGTGAGCACAAGCCCTATGCAACGATGCCTGCCCATGAGGGAGGCATAGTGGAGAGGATGACAAATGGCCACATACCTATCATAAGCCATAACTATCAGCAGGAGCATCTCACTACCTCCGAAAAGGTGGAGGAAAAAAATTTGAGCCATGCAGCCCTGGAAGGAGATGGCCTGACGCTGAGCAAGGAATGCAAAGAGAGCTCTGGGAGTGGCAAAGGAAGACATGCAGAGGTCCAGGAAAGCCAGGTGGCCCAGCAGAAAGAACATGGGAGAACCTAAGAGGTGGTGGTCCTGAGAAATTGCCAAGAGGATGAGAATGTTGCTGAAGAGAGTGGCCATGTAGAGGAGGAGGAGGAAGACAAATAAGAGCAGTTGGATATCCCAGGACCGGGAGAAGCCCAGCAAGACAAACTCAGTCACCACAGTTGTGTTTTTCCACTCCATTCTCCATTCTCTTCTTTCCTGCTCAGGAGAAAAGTAGGAGAGAAGAAAGGAGGCTGTGAGGGGCAGCATCCATCACAGCTCAGATTAAGCAAACAAAAAGCATATCTGTATGTCAGCTGCCTGAATAGTGGCAATGGAAGCTAATCTCCCAGGCCTTGAGGTGCATTCATCCTACTAGCCTTTACGAAAGCCACTGAGAGAAATCCAGATCTGTGCAGGACCACCTGCTGCTTCTTTCTCATAGCAGCCCTTCCAGTCCCTTGAACATGTTATGTTCAATCAGTGGGCATTGCTGAATGGCATGAGCTCTGTTTGTGGGATGATTAAGGATCTCAGCAAATTTGGCCTTTCATAAGCACAGCCCTTTTTCTGTAGGAAGGCAGAACCTGAATCCTGTACCTCTTCCCAAAACTTTCCCCTACAAGGAAAGCAACCATCTGCCTTGCAGAGAAACAGGCAAAGGAGTGGGAAGAGATGTTGGCAAAGGGAGGGTTGGATCTAGGATCTGCCTTTGATGGATGGAACACCTCTTGCTTCAAAGAAGGTCTTTCTACCTGATTTTTGGGGAACCCAAAAATGCTCCCACTAACAGGGTTCAGCAACCATAGGGTACCATTTTCTGGTGGCTGGAGGGCCTTCGGTGGGGAGGAGGGAGTGGGGAAGTCCAGGTCTGCTGGAGTAATCGCACATGCCTATGTCTGGGTTCAGCCAAGAACTGGCCACTTTGAGGACCCTGCATTATTTACATATACAGAGAGAGAGAGGAAAGGCCATCATATCAAACACACCCTGAACCCTCAGCAGCTGTGGGTAGCTTCAGTCCATCTCTGGGTGGTCTTGGTTAACTACAAGACTTTTCCCCGAATGCAATGTAGCCCAAGCCAACGGAGGTAGAGCATTTCAGCATGAGTGGAGCTGTGCATCCACTCCAGGATGCAGCTTGACCAGTTAAGGAGCTCTCCATGGTGCTGAAACTAGGTTGGGATTAGGGTTCGGCAGCAGGGAACCTCCTTTAAAGTTTGGACAAAGACCCAGGGTGGATACACCACAGCGCTGATATTGGATTCATCAGTTTCCATTCACCGATGCTACTCCAGAACAAGGATATAGCACCAATTCATGTTTAGCATACCTTATAGTCCTTGCCCTTCTCTGAGGCACTGTTATTGGAGAACCCCTGGGAAAGTGCATCCTATCTCAGTCAGACAACCCTCCCATTTTCACCAACATTTAGGAAAAGCAAAAAAAACCCACTATCTTTGGAGAGACACTCTTTGCCTTTCTGGAGCTACATCTGGGGAGAAACCCCTGTGCAGGACTCCATTCTCGTTGAAGGAAAGCCTGCTTCACCCCAGAAAGCACCAGAACTGGTCCAAATGGATCTGATTTAACTTGGGCCACCTCCAGTGCTCATCCCTGATACAGATATATCAGACATATGCCTTTATGTATGGGCAGTAAGTAGTCTCACTCCTGCCATGTGGGAAAAAATAATCCTCTGGTTTGACATTCTCACCCACCTGCAAAACTTCAGCTGAAATTGCTTGATGTTTTCTGAAGGCAGCTTCTTCTACAGTTCAGCTTGGCAACAGCAAGGAGCCATTCAATCCAGCTACATCTTTTGCCTGTGGATGGTTTGACTGCTCAGAGGACTAGACGAACTAAAGAGCAACAAGCCAAGAGGGAATGGAATGGGGTGACAACTCACCTGGAGAGTTAGTGAGGGAAGTGGGATCATTTGCAACAACAGAAAGCAATGCACAGCTACCCTCTAAGGTGTGTTGTTTTTGATTTGCCTAGTGATTTGTCTCGATGGGTAGATGACAGAGTTTTTCTTTAAATGGGAAAATGGGGGTGTTTGCAACTCCCAGAGTGTGGAATTCTACTTCTGTCATCAATGGAAAAACTTGGAACAGTAGTACTTTCGAAGGAAAGAATTTCATATATGAACTGGATAACTAGATTAGCTAGGCAATTCTTGGGCTGACTCTGCAGCAGATACAAAAGCAGAATGAAGACAATGTGGGGTCTTGCTACATTAGAAAACCCCGCACCTGCTCTGAGCAAAGGCTGGGCCTGGGAGTGAAATCAGGACCTTGGACAGCTCTCACAGAGCAAGAGAATTGAATCCCTGGCAAGGTCTTGTAGGCAGGGTTTGTACAATCAGGGAAGGCAGGGCGACTTCTTTCCCCGCCTCACATCTGCCATTGTTTCCCATAATTTAATCTAAGAATCTCCATAATTACTCCAGCCCTGCTTGGATTGCTGTGTCAACTGCTTAGTGAGGGTGGGCGATTAGGGTGGCTCGAATCCTAAGAGAAGTCATGGAATGCAGGGTGCCTTGGAAGCCACCCCACCACCCACCTTGACAGGTTCAGCTGACACAGCAAGCCACCTGGGCAGTGTAATCATGGAAGCACTGGCCATGTGCAAGGCAAGGGAAAAAGACCCCACTAAGACTCATGCTGGGTGTCCACCCCTAAACTGCTTCATCTGCTGTCAGTGGGCCGCTACCTTTATTCCAAAGGCACTGGCCTCTTCTGGAACATGAAGGTTAGAGGAGGATGGAGACTACTAGAGCTCATTCTGTAGGTTCCTTTACTCACTAGGGATTGCCAGAAGTCCATTCCTTAAGAGTCAGAGGGCAGTGTTGCTTCCCAGGGCTTGCACAGAAAGGAAATGGGGCCCCAGCTGCAGTTCCACAGGACTTTTCAGTGCCTCCCTGTAGTCCCTGTGTCTAGAAGCTTCAGTGCCTTAAGGTTTCATGACAGAAGGATGGGTGGGTGAGTGCAGAAATAGATGGGTAGCACCACTTAAGCCAGGACTTTTTGGAACTCTGCTTCAAAGTGATTTTGGACATCCTGGGGCCAGCCCTGTGCCAGCTCTGGGACATGCCAACCTCTGGTCATGTGCAGAAAAGAAGAGAAAATGACCCATTCCTTGGTCTTTATCTGGGGGAAGTAACTATAAAAATACAGCAATATTCTCTTCCTCTTTGTGAAGAACACACACCCGTTTTTCTTACTCTTCACCTGGCAGGGATACCGTCTCATTCGCTAGATAAGAAGCTGTCAAAATAAGAAGTTGGCTCCAGGGGAAAACTCCTCAATTCCTGATGTTTCCCTTCTCTGGAGAGCTCATTAAAGGTTGTGCTGAGTATGAGGAGAGCAGGGATGACCCAACTCTAAACCCAGCCAAGGAGTAATCCTCCTGTGAAATCAGAAACATGGAGCGGCACCTGAAGAACCCTGTGTGAGGATCATGCACAGGACACAAATTCAGCACACCTGGCACTGCAAGCCATGCTGGAGTCTTGCTGTCCCATCCGGGGTGCAGCCCAGCCTTCTGCCTCAGGCATGCGGGAGAGTCCCTTCTCCGAGAACCCTCCATGAAAGAAATTAGGAGAGTAAGTACCCGGAGGAGGGCTTTCTCTGCGGTGGCGCCCAACCTATGGAATTCACTCCCCAAAGAGGTCCGCCTGGCACCGTCGTTACTGGTTTTTCGGCGCCAGGTAAAGACCTTTTTATTTAAACATCATTTCAATTGTTAAAACATATGATCTGGCCTGGGCAACTTCTTCTTCCTTCTCTTTCTCCTCCTATATTTTTATTTTATACTGATAATTTTAATTTTGTATTTGTAAATCAATGTATTTTTTGTATTGTTATATTTAATGGTAATTTATTATGTACTATTGTATTTCAATGTATTTTATCATGTTGTAAGCCGCCCCGAGGTTTCGGCAAGGGGCGGCATAGAAATGTTATAATAATAATAATAATAATAATAAAAAAATAATTAATCCTGGGGGTAATTTCCCTCTGACCTTGAATGGGCAAGTACTGTCTGTGGATATTTGGTCTGACTCTATGGAAGCTTACGCAGAGTCGGTATATTTAAATCTACACAATGAAATGTATATATAGTGAAAAGTGTTTCCGTTGCAGGTGCAAGCAGGACCACATGCCCACGTGACTCCAATATCACTGGCTATCAGTTTTGCTCCAGGCGCAATTCAAGGTGTTTGGTTTAGCACATAAAGCCCTGAATGGCTTAGGACCAGGCTACCTGAAGGACCACCTGTTCTCATATGTACCTACGCATCCCCCAAGATCTGTCTTGGAGGCCCTTCTGAAAAAGCCATCCTCCAAGGAGGTAAGGAGGATGGCTTATAGAAAAAGGACCTTCCCAGTAGTTGTGTCCCATCTGTGGACAGCCGCCTGAAAGCAGTTTGCCTGGCTGGTGCCCTCACTACAATCTTTCCAGCCCCAGGCAAAAGTAACTCTATTCTATAGGCATTTTAATAATTGATTTTATCTGGATCATATTAGTAAGTTTGTTTTAATCTATGTGGTTTTCAATTATTAGTTGTGTAAGATTTCATTTTATTGTCTTTTCCTTATAGTGTTGTAATTGATTGCTTATATTGTCATGATATTTTATCTTACTGCAATCTGCTTAGAGGGCCCTTGGGAACATGGAATAGTGAAATATGTTTAAAAATAAAATAAAATAAAAATGCTGTTTTGTTTTATCATTTGCTAAACTGTTGTCAACTGTCCAGAGGATTATTGGGCAGTATAGAAATAATAATTGTAATAGCATATTTGTTTTCTTTTTGTGAAATTTCCAATAAAAATAAATTTTAAGAAGGAAAGGTGGTGGGGACTCCTTCCTCTGCATCTGGTTCTAGCATTTTTTCCAGATATCTAGCTGAAATTTGGCTTCCTGTAACTTGAGCCTGTTATTCCTTGTCCTGCTCTCTGGGATGATGGAGAAGAGATCCTGGCCTTCCTTTTTGTGACAGCCTTTCAAGTCCTTGTGGAGTCCAATCATATTCCCCCCTCAGTCTTCTCTTCTCAAGGCTAAACATGCCCAGTTCTCTCAATCTCTCCTCATAGGACTTTGTTTCCAGTCTCCGGATCATCCCTGTCACCCTCCTCTGGACCCTTTCCGGCGTGCCAGTATCTTTCTTAAACAGTGGTGCCCAGAATTGGAAACAGCTCTCCAGAGAGGCCTAACCGGCGCTGAGTAAAGGGGAACTAGTACTTCACTTGCATTGAAAGTGATACTTCGGCGAATGCAGCCTAAAGCTTTTCCTATTTTATTTGCACTTTTTCACCCATGCCTGAAAAATGGAATGCAGCAGGCCATGCTGTCTTCCAAAGCATTTATCCTGTGGATATTAGTAACTAGAGATATTAATAGTGGATCACACAGTTCCTTAGATAGCCAAGCCCTAGGTCCACAGAGGTTAAAGCCACTCCATGAATTAATCCTGGAAAACAAATGGCTGTTAAGGTGGATGTTTCAGTGTTGGGGTAACTTGATCTCAATACCATGCACTGGTTAGTAGCCCAGCTGTGGCATTTTGCATTGACTAAATTAGTCTGGTAGCACCATTTAAAGCACATTGCAGTACTGTAGACCTGATTTGACCAGGACCCAGGTCTTTGTTGCCAAGTTGGAGTAACTCAGGAAGCATCGCAATGGGCACATGCAAGTTCTTACCTTACCATTGCTACCTTCTGAAATTCCATGCATAACTCAGAATCAAGAAGCTAAGGAACAAACCCGATTTTTCACTGGACCACTTTTGGAAAAGACCACATTCCAATCATTTAACTATTACAAAGCTAATGCAAGCAAGCTAACAAACTGGTTATCTTCTTTTTATTTGTTCCCCCACATCTTATATTTCTTCAGCTGCCTCCACATGGCAACTTTGATCTCTTTGTTCCTCAGAGTGTAGATCATGGGGTTCATCAAGGGAAAGACCACCGTGTGGAAAAAAGCCACCACTTTGTCGAATGGGAAGTCCTGGAAGGGATGGCAGTAGATGTAGATGGCTGGGCCAAACATGATGAAAGTGATGATGATATGGGTGACGCATGTGGAGGAAGCTTTGCTCTTCCCTTGGCTGGAACCCATCCTCACCTTGACCAGTAGGGCCCCATAGGAGATGAGGAGGAGGATGAAGCATGCCGTGCTGACCAGGCCACTGTTGACAAACATGACCAGCTCTAGTGTGTAAGTGTTGGTGCAAGCCAGCCTGATGATCTGGGTGATATCACAGAAGAAGTTGTCCAGTTTACTGAGGCCACAGAAAGGAAGGGGGATGATGAGAATGAGCTGGACTATGGAGTGCATGAATCCTGCAGCCCATGAAGCCACCACTAAGACGCAGGAGACAAACCTGGTCACCACAGTGACATAGCGCAACGGATGGCAGATAGCTACATACCGATCAAGAGCCATGGACATTAGCAGGCTGATCTCAGCACCACCCAGAAAATGAATGAAAAAGAGCTGAGCCATGCAGCCTCGGTAGGAGATGGTTCTGCGGCCAGTGAAGAAGTTGGCAATCATCTTCGGAGGGGTGATGCAGCTGTAGCAGATGTCCATGAAGGCCAGGTTGGCCAAGAAGAAAAACATGGGCGATGCCAGCCGGGGGTCCTTGAGAATTGTCCCAATGATGAGGATGTTCCCAGGCAGGATGATGGCATAGAAGAGCAGGAGGAGAGCACAGAGAAGCAGCTCTAGGCCCCAGGTGTGTGATAATCCCTGAAGACAGAACTCAGTCACCACTGTATGGTTCCCTTCTTCCATTCTTCGAGCACATGGTCCTGCAGTGGAATGGGATGTGAAGTAGCAAAGAGTGAAAAGCTCCACCACCTTTTTCTTCTGCCTGTCTTTAGGGTTAGCAGTGCAGCTTCTTGGGTCATGCAGCTAAGAAGGGGTTTGGGTTTTTTCAGGACTACCTACTTCTTCAAGAAACCAGGACCAATCTAAGTTTCATGTGAATGGAAATCCTAACAGGCATATTTTTTGGACTGACAGGATTGGCTTTACTTCTAGTAGAAAACATGTTTGGAACTGAAGAACTAGTTGAATGGCCCTCAGCTGTTTATAAAATCTTAAAATCTTGAGAGTTTTGCTTTGGTCAATACTAAAATGACTCTACTATCCAAAGCACCAGGAGTCCACACACCTGGTCATGCTATTTTCTCTCAAGGAGGGATCTAAGTCCAAACAAATCTCTAGGCAGTCCACATTACTGGGAAAGGATCTCAAGGATTCAAGGGAAAGAAGTCTTTATAGGAAAAGAAGTTCAGAGGTACCTTTTAGTCAAAAAGCAGTAATCAGTGCTTTCAGCTGGTTGGATTGCAACAGTTGATTTGTAACTTTGTCAGGGTAAAACCCCTCAAAAAGCAGATCCCAATATATTCTGAAACAGAAATAAATATTTAGACCGGAAAAGCAATGCATGCTCAGTAGCAACAGATGAAACCTTAGTCAGAAGCCCAGTTCACCTTGGATTGTAAGAACATTCCATTTAAGGGGTGAATATGCAATGGATTTTTTCTGGTTTGACTCTGGTGGGTTTTGTTATGCTTTGGCCCACTGGTGTTGATTTGAGCTGATTTTGAGTCATTCTAATATGCAAAATCTCTCTCTCTCATTCTCTTTCTCTTTTGCTGGAATTTTTGGATTAATTTTGGAGGGAGCTAGTGAATTTTTTGTAAATGGAATTGCATTCCCTCTTTTGGAAGTGCATAAGAGTACAAATTCAGTTGTCCAATATATATACAGTCTTGCCTTTCAATTTCCTTGTGTGTTTTAACTCTAATGGAAACACTGAAATGGAATAGGTAACATACAAGACAAGACCATATATGAGATGATTTGCACACAGTTGTGAAAAACTGGAGAAAAATAAGAGCAAGACAAAGGAGGAACCCATTAGGACAATTTAGGAGTCTCACAGAAGGGAAAAAAGTAAAGGTAGGCAATGTTCCAAAAAGTGGGGTGGGAGAAATATATCTCTATCTGGCAATGTAATTGTCTTGCTACTCAACATTGAACCGATACTTGTCTGTATCCTCCTCCATTTCGTCACTTCCCCATGGATCTAGCAAACCCAGAAAGGGGAATTAAGGGCTCCATCTCCTTTCTGTGGCTCTTCCTCTGAGCAGTTTCTCCATAGCACAAATTCCTCTTTGCTAATAAACATGTAAATGTGCACAAATTTCCACTCCATTTACTTCCCATTTTCTATGTTTCTGCAAAATTCTCTTGCTTTTTAGTTCCCCCCACTTTATTTATTAGTTGCATCTTTCTGCCACCCTGTAACTGAAAAGTTATTCCCTGGGAGGGAATGTAAAAGCTGGTTGAAGAGAAGACCTCATTTCATGAGATACACAAAATGTAGATGGACAGAAGCACAAACATGTCCAGAATTGGAAAAAAATACACCAGTTATGATCTCCTGCCAATTATCAGAGTGGAAACACCATGTGACCCCAGATGGAATGGGATTTGCAGTATCACACATTGCCAGGCTCACCTTTCCCTTTGTTTTTTTCAGATTCTGGTGCTGCCTCTCTCTTTTCCTCTCCTTTACTTCACATCCCACAAATTGCCCAGCTGCCAGTAAGAATGATCTTACAGCTGTTGGTTGACTGTGGGCCGGCTAATAGTTCAGATCCAGCTTGGTCACTCAGTGTGATTCATTGCTGGGAGAGCTGACCAGCCACACAGGAGCTTGTTCTTTTCTTTTTTTATTATATTTTTATATTTTTAATTGTTTTCTTAACATGAATAGAATACAGAAAAATATATTTTTACCACATATATTTTTACCATATATATTTATATATTTTACGATTGTATTTTACCATATACATATTACCATATACATATTTTATATATATATATATATATATATATATATATATATATAT